TAAGATGTCACAATAAAAAGAGCACTGGGTTCTGGGATCGAAGGACTTGGGTTCAAATTCTACCTTTGATGTGAAATTTATGACCTTAGGCTATTCAATTAACTTCCCCAGACCTCTTATAAAACGAGAGGGTTAGACTTGATGGTCTCTGCTAGTCCAATCCCTGGCTGGGGGCTAAGGCGGTCACCTGTCCATTATCAAATCCTAAACCCTTTCCAGATAATCAAGTCCTTTCTGTGGATGAAATAACTAAGATAGGTTTCTTCTTTCTCTTTCCTTCTTTCTTTCTTTCCTCCCTCCCTCTCTTTCTCTCTCTTTCTTTCTCTTTCTTTCTGTAAAGCTGGTTAAACTCAGAGGGAAAAATGCCTGCTTTCCACTTGGTTTCAAGACCAGAGGCATAGGTTCTCAGATCAGCTACTGGCAGGGGACAAACTGAACAAAGCCTTCCCAAGGCAGGCAATGAATCTCACACAGATGTAGCAAAGTGCACTGGGTCCAGAGAAGAGTTGAGAAATGCCACCTCCATTGCTTTACCAAGGATGGCCAGCTATGGGTCTGCAATAGCGCACATACAGCTAGGTCCTGATTAGTGAAAATATATTAGTCAAAGTTAATGTGTTCACTGGTTTTACTAAACTGTTTTTTCCCCCTCTTTATTGTTTATTCTTTGTAACAAGGGATTGGCTCATTGGCAGGGAATAAGGAAGGTGTAAAGATATATATATATACATATATATACAAAATATATATATTATATATATACACCCCCCCCACACATATATATAAACACACATAAATACCTACATATATATTATATGTATACATTCAGAAATGAAGATGATATAGAAACAAAATATACCAATAAAAGGTTTTTTGCTTTTGCTCCATGGGGCCTTGATTCAGTACCTTCACCTCAATTTTCTCATCCCTAAAAGGAAGGAGTTGGATTAGACGACTTAGAAGGTTCCTTCCAGCTCTCATTCCTAAAGGGACAGGAGGCAGGGACTTGACCAAATATGTCACTGGTACAAGGTAAGGAAATTCCTTCTACCAATGCAAGCCATTAACTTCTCTGCCACTTAATTTCTTAGTTGTCCAGAACACTGAAAGGTTAAGTGACTCGTCCCTGGTCATGCAGCCAGCATGTGTCAGTGTTAGGACTTGAACCCAGGTTTTGCTGGTTCTGAGGCCAAGTGTCTATCTGCTAGGCTACACTCTGTCCTATGAGGCAGAAGTATCTACATTTCTACAAAACAGGGTTGACGGAAGACATTTAACTCCAAGTCACACAATGGGTTGTTTAGTACACAGAATGTCAATGCGGCTTTAGTCTCTATGCTGAGAAGAAAGAGAACCTTTCGTTTGGCCTCAACCTGTAAGGCTGTCAAAAGGCTAAATTATGGTTTAAATTTATCTCCCGAACCATGTATTGCAGTAGGATGGTTCCCAGTTACTTCAGAGCCGATGCTAGGGTAATTTGTCCCCCAATATGGTTTTGAATAGGCATGTTTATTATTTAAAATGTTCTCTGTCCAACCTCCTCAAAATCTATTGTTGGAAACTTTTCTTTTATTAGATTAATATGTGTTGGGCATAGGAGGGGAGTAGCAGGGGAGAGGCGGGGAGTAGAATTGTAAAAAAGCCACTTTCCCCACCACTTATGGAAGGGTGTCTTACATATCTTTAAAGGATATGCTATTTTTCTACTAGGGACTGGCTTTGTTAGCCAGTATGTTCACATACACACATACACACACACATACATACTCTCTCTCTCTCTCTCTCTCTTACACACACATGTGTAAGTATATGAATGTGTGTGCATGTATGTGTGTATATGTAGTTGTTGAGTCATTTTGGTTGTGTCCAACTCTTTGTGACCATATTTGGGGTTTTCTTGGTAAACATACTGGAGTGGTTTGCCATTTCCTTTTCCATTTTTCAGATGATGGACTAAGGCAAACAGGGTTAAGTGACTTGCCCAGGGTCACACAATTAGTAAGTGTCAGAGGTCAGATTTGAACTCACAAAGAGTTCCTGACTTCAGGCTTGGCACTCTATCCACTGCAATACCAAGCTGCATATATATGTATGTGTGCATATATATACATATATACATACATATATATGTAGTTTTAAAGGTCCCACAACAATCCTGTGAAGGATGTTCTACACATATTACCCCTACTTCACAGGTGAAGAAAACTGAGGCACTGAGTGTGAAGTGGTTTGCCCACTATCATTAAGAGAGAGTCTCAGAAGAAGGATCATGACCCAGGCCTACATGATCCTAAGTCCAGGATTCTGCTCTTGAAAGACAGAACCATGTCTGTTTTGGTTCCTTTTTTTGTTGAACAGTGTATGCCTTCCTTCCATGGTGAAAATGGATCCCTACATTGGAAGCCCCTCTGGCTGGCTGAGGGGATCTCTTGTGTCTACTTTCCAGGGTGTTCCTTAATGTATGTACATTATGCAGAGCTGCAAGGACTTGTTCACTCTTACCTCCATGTACTGATTAAACAGACGCAGGGTGTGGTCTGTGAAGTTGAAGACATTC